GAGCATACACACCCTCTAGCAAAAGTCAATTTTTAAAAATCTGCTGGAGGGTAGGCAAGTGTGCTTTCTGGAGAGAGACAGAGAGAGGGAAAGTGAGAAGGTACACATCAGGGGCAATGGCCGTTCTATAGTCCCTTCTCCCCCAATCCCTTTATGGGATTTTGTACACACACACACACACACACACACACACACACAGTAGCATGTTTCTCAAGCTGTTATGTCAGGAGCTTGAACCACAGAGTCAGCTGTGTGATTCAGCCACCTTTGCCATCATGCAACCAGCTGGCCCAACAACAACAACAACAACAAAAATACACACGCACACACACACACACACACACACACACATATATATTTTTAAAAGAGTTATTTGCTAATTTCCATTTGCATTCTTTTTTTTTTTTTTTTTTTTAATTTGACCAGAGAGAGACAGAAAGGGAAAGCGAGAAAGCAAGCTGCCAGGTCTGGGACTGAGTCCGTAGTTGGCCATGTGGGAATCTAGCACCTTTAACCAACATACCACCTGCCAACCCGCCAAAAATATTTTTAAATCAAAGATGATGTCACACTACGCATCCACATGCATTCCTCCTTGCTATAGCATAATCCTGGGGGTTCAGGGCTGAGACTTTAATGTATGCAAATAAGAAGTGCACTGGTGGGTTCCGGAGGTTAGGGTAACAGGGGTGGGTAGGAAGTGAGGGGAGCTGGAAGGATTGACTGGAGGTACCAGTTGATCTCCCGTGTGCTTGTGAACATCCAGCGGCCAGGCTGGACCTGACTCCATGAGCGGCCTGATAAACAGTACATAGAATAAGAACACTTACCTATGTTCATGTTGATTTTAAAATATTTTTCAAAAGATTTTTAAAAGTATTGAACATAAAAGTTCTTTTTTACCTGGAAAATGTAACTTTTGTGGGAATCTTAAAATTCAAGTCATCGGGCCAGCAAATGGTGTGGTGGTTAAGGCACTGGATCCCACATAGCCAACTCTACAGTTTGAGTTCTGGACTCAGCAACTTGAATAACACATTAGGTACATAGCCCACATGTCCAAAATCCCAAGAGGAGAGTGGAAGAGCAAGGACTATGGCATGTTTATCCCCCCGGGGGATGATTTCTCACTTTCCCTGTCTCTGTGGCTCTAGGTGTCTCTCTCCAGTGATTGCATGTGCTATATGGCAAAAATCTAAAAAAATAAAATTCAAGTCACAAATTGAAGGTCCAAGGGCCAGATGGTGACACAGTGGTAAAATGTAAATTTTACATTTACATGTCTGCTGGTCTGACCCAAATGGGAAGTTCCTGGGTTTGCATCCAGAGACCTTCCAAGTTCTCCAAGCACATGTATGTCCATGATCTAGTGCTGGCTAAGCAGGTGGCATGGTGGTTAAGGCATTGGACTCCCTCTCACATGGCTGACTGCAGTTTGAGTTGTGGATCTGGCATTTAGCTTTCTTGGTTTTTCTCTCTCTCTCTTTCTAGTGAGTGCCCTATAGCAAATTAAAATAATTTAAAAACTAAAAATTTTTTTTGAGAGAGTTTTGCTATAGGTCAAGTGTGCTTGCCAGAGAGACAGAGAGAGAGAAAGCTAGAAGGCATCCCCCAGAGGGTAGCCACACCAGCATCCCTTCTCCTCCTGTGACTTTGTGTATGCACTTACATGCATCTAACATGAGTTTCATGTCTTCAGGTCTGGGATTCGAACTGTGATCAGTCATGTGGGAGTCCAGCACCTTAACCACTACACCACCTGCTGGTTCCAATAAATCATTCTTTTTTTAAAAAAATGATTTATTGGGGCCAGCAGGTGGCATGGTGGTTGAAGCAGCTGGATTCCCACATGGCTGACCGTGGTTTGAGTCCCAGACCCAGCAGGTTGCTTTCTCACTTTCCTTTTCTCTCTCTATTTCTCTTTGGTCAACTTTGAAAAATAAAATTAAAATAATGACAATGAATAAAATTAAAATAATTTTTTAAAAAGATTTATTGTCTATGATTAATGCTGTTTCTGTAGGAAGATGGCCAGATGAGTTCTCCTTCTGAGCCAGATGCCACCAGAATCCATCTGAGTCCATCAGGATTAGCTGCAGTCTGCAGTGAGCCACCAGAAATTATGATCCAACCAATGGCCCATCTGGAAACACTTAGAAAACATTGGAGGATTAAGGGAGTGAACACAGGGTTATTGAAGAGGCACCTGCCTGGAGGCACACAATCTTGACTTGGTTGTTTTGCTCCTATCATGAATAAAAATTTCGAAAAAAAGAAGTGGGATGTAAGAGGTGATTCCAGGGATTTCACCTAAACTTTGCCTCCATCTTGACTATGTATGTGATAGGACTAACCATCTGTCCGCTTTCCCACCTTGCTTCTGGGCCTGGTGCAGCCCCTCGTTTCCTGCTTCTGTGGGGACTCCCACATGCAGTTCCCACACTGTCTGGGTGGCCTTTCCCCATAGGCTTCCTGAAACACCTGCTCCCTTTAGGACAACCCTAGCGTCAGCGCCCTGGGAAGCCTTCCCTGATCCTACTATTTGCACGGGGAGTTGCTGTGTGCTTCCACTAAGCCATGAGCTTGTTTCTTCAAGAAGCCCATGACTTATGTAGGGAGTTGGGGTAGGGGGGCTTGAGTTTCCATTCATGTGCAATGTCCATAGAATGGATAGTGAATATCTGCTTGTCTTTGCCCTTCCCCAGTTTGCCGTGACTTTTTTTTTTTTTTTTTTTTTTTTTTTTTTTTTTTCATTTTTTTTTTTTTAGTTTTTGCCTTAAGGTGCATGCCCTCACAGGAGAGAGACAGAGAGGGGAAGTGAGAAATCACCCCCCTGGGGGATGGCCATGCTGCAATCCCTTCTCCACCATTTTCCTCTTGGAATTTTGGGCACTCACACACACACACACACTAGCATGATTTTCAAGCTGCCAGGTCAGAGATTTGAACCACGGTGGGCTGTGTAGGAGTCCAGCAACATAACCACCACGCTACTTGCTGATCCAGCTTGCTGTGACTGTAAACTTCTGTAAGTGTCTAGTCCTCATCACTTCTCGGGCTTTCTGAGTTCTTCGTTGAGGTTATGAGCATAGGGTTTCCTTCTGTCTGAGCTGCCCCATGCATGCAGGTGTACCCATAGTGTTAGCATCTTGTGGCTCTTATACCCTCATACACTTTCACCTTGAAACCTGGAGAAGCGTTCATCCTTCCAGCTTCCCCATATGAAGCTGTGCAGTTCTCTAGCTCTCTCTCTTCAGGCCTTTGTCTAGCTTGTTTGCTCTGAGTACATTCCAGCTCCAGCTACCCAGCATGGGCGTGAGGACAGAGAGGATGTTTTCGCTCACTTTCCCCTCCTGCTGGGGCCGAGCATTTTCTGTCCTTTGACCATTGTAATTTGTTGGACCAGTGTTTTCAGAGAACAATCTGCAGGGAATCTTCTAGAGCCCTCTCTGGTGTTATGACTGAGAGTACAAAGCCCATCCCCTACAAAATAGATTCTCGCACCCCAAGCTGACATTCTAATAAATGCATGATGGTACAGAGGCATGTCCATCTCTCCAACCCACCTGTATTAATCTGACTTCTCCAAAGAAACAAAAACAGTAGGATATTTAAAGAGATTTACTTTAATAAACTGACTTTCACGACTATGGGAGCTGACAAGTCCAAAATCCGCAGGACTTGCCAAAATGCTTGGAATTTCAGCAAGAATTGATGTTGCAGTCTTGAGTATAGAGGCAGTCTAAAGACAGTTTTCTCCTCTTCAGGGGCACTTTTCCCCCCACTCTCCTCATGCCTTCAACTGATTGGACAAGGCCCACCTATCTCATGGATGTAAATTTTAAGATTTTAATGTCTATTGATTTAAATGTTGATCATGCGTGAAATATACTTCCTCAATGACATCTAGACTGATATTTGATGGAACCCATAGTGTAGCCAACCTCTCTATACTTTTCAGGCCTGGTTTGTGGTCTTTCGCCTCTACTGCTTTCATTTTCCCTAAAATCTTATCACTCTGGCCCAGCCAAGGTGCTGTCCTTTAATGCTGGAGCCATATAGAAGACCATGGTTTGGATCCCAGGTCAACCCGAAACACAACAGGTACACATGTATAACTGTAATCCTGGCTGACTGGAAGGCGAAAGGGCAGGTGACAGTGCTGACAGTGGCATGATGGGACTGTGTCAAGAATTCCTCTCTTCTCTTTCTCTTGTCTCTCTTAATAAAATAAACTTTCTTTTAAAGAATTATTTTTATTTTGGGACCAGCAGGTGGCATGGTGGTTAAGGCATTGGACACTCCCACATGGCCGACCACGGTTCAAGTCCTTGGTAGCTTGCTTTCTCTCACTCTCTCTCTGTCCCTCTCTGGTCAAATTAAAATAAATAAATGAATAAATAAAATAATTTTTAAAAAAATTTATTTTATATTTTAACTTTATTATTATTATTTTCCAGTTTGATTAGAGAAAGAAAGTGAGAAAGCCAAACCATCAGGTCTGGGATTTGAGCCATGGTCAGCCATGTGGGAGTCCAGCGATCCCAACCACTACGCCATCTGCCAGCCCCTTAATAAAATAAGCTTTAGCTTTTGCTATAGGGTTTGTGCACTTGTCAGAGAGAGAAAGAGAAAGCGATACCCCCTAGGGGAGCATGACCACTCCACAATCCCTTCTCTAGTCTCCCTCAAGATTTTGGGCATGGACCTCAAGCTTCCAGATCCTGGCCTCAAACTGCACAGGTGGCCATGTGGGATCCAGTGTCTTTACCCCCACACCACCTGCTGGCCCCCAAAAATAAACATTAAAAAAAAAAAAGTCTTTTTCTCCATCCCGTATCTCTGTAGTCCAGGCACTGGGCCGTTTTCAGTCTACATTGAATCACTCTCCCTCTGTCCTAGGCTACCTTCTGGTCCCACAGGAGGCTTTCCTGGGTGCATCTCCCTTGGACCAGTGTAAACAGCTCGGAACTTTTTAAATTTCCTGTTGTGTCTCCTAGGTATTGGAAAGAACGTGGTTTGTGAGAAGGCAGCCACGTCAATAGATGCCTTCCGGATGGTGACAGCCTCACGCTACTATCCACAGCTGATGAGCCTGGTGGGGAACGTGCTGCGCTTCCTGCCAGCCTTCGTGCGCATGAAGCAGCTGATAGCGGAGCACTATGTGGGCGCGGTGATGATCTGCGACGCCCGTGTCTACTCGGGCAGCCTGCTTAGCCCGAGCTATGGCTGGATCTGTGACGAGCTCATGGGCGGCGGGGGCCTGCACACCATGGGCACCTACATTGTGGACCTGCTGACCCACCTGACCGGCCGGAGAGCAGAGAAGGTGCACGGGCTGCTCAAGACCTTCGTGAGACAGAACGCCGCCATCCGTGGCATCCGGCACGTCACCAGTGATGACTTCTGTTTCTTCCAGATGCTGATGGGCGGGGGTGTCTGCAGCACAGTGACGCTCAACTTCAACATGCCGGGGGCCTTTGTGCATGAGGTCATGGTGGTGGGCTCTGCAGGACGCCTTGTCGCCAGGGGAGCTGACCTCTACGGGCAGAAGAACTCTGCCGCACAAGAGGAGCTGCTTTTGAGGGACTCGCTGGCGGTGGGCGCAGGACTGCCCGAGCAGGGGCCCCAGGACGTCCCACTGCTCTACCTGAAGGGCATGGTCTACATGGTGCAGGCCTTGCGCCAGTCCTTCCAGGGCCAGGGGGACCGGCGCACCTGGGACCGCACCCCCGTCTCCATGGCAGCCTCATTCGAGGATGGGCTGTACATGCAGAGCGTGGTGGATGCCATTAAAAGGTCGAGCCGTTCAGGGGAGTGGGAGACTGTGGAGGTGCTGACAGAGGAGCCTGATGCCAACCAGAACTTGTGCGAGGCTCTTCAGCGGAATAACCTATGAGCCGCTTGAGGGCTCCCTGCCATAGGGCGGAGGGACCAAGGAGGGGATTGAGAGCCAGGACAGGGCTTGATTGTGGCAGAGATAGTGTCTTTTTTCATTTAATGAGTCAGTCTGGGCTGGGGCTGGGTATAGCCAAAGGTGGCCCTGGGGAAACACCCCCTCTGGCTGCTCATTTACTCCTGAGACAGGGTGGTGAATGTTCCTGTGGCCCTGGGTCTGAGCATCGGCACAGCATGCGTAGGGCAGAGCTGTCACCAGGCCTTTCCTGCTTACCCTATGAGCAGGGCCAGAAGAAGCTTGATTTGTGGGCTCTGCAGCCTGATTTGTGGTCCAACCAGGATGAGAAATTACAGCAAAAAGTCAGGTTGGCTGAGCCCAGAGGCCTTGTTTCCATGTCGCCTTGGGCCAGAGCATCTCAGGAACGGTGAGGGCAACATGTCCTCCCTCAGGGATCCTCACCTGCCCTCCTATGCCACCAAGCTCTTCCACCTCCCAGGCTGACCCTTTCTTGGCGGTGAGAAGGGATATCTTTATTAGGTGTGCTACCAGGGGCTATTGATCTAGGGAAAAGGGCCCCTGATTTGGCAGAGAAGAGAGAAGGGATAACATCTGATAGATGTTAATAAACCAGAGAGCACAACGTCATACATGCAGTTTTTATTTGTCCATTGCGTAGGCTGGGTTTCTTCAATAATGCGAGACTGGTTCATTTCTGTAGGTTGGTTTTCTCTTCCTCATGACTCCGAAGGAGCACTGAGCCTGCCGGGGATCCATCACTGTCCAGTGGGCCACACAGTACAGTGCCACTACTGCCCTCAGCTCCTGGCATTGCCTCATGACTGAATTTAGGAACTCCCCACCACAAAGAAAGAGTATTTCCTTGGGGTCAACAGGTGGCATGGTGGTTAAGGTGCTGGACTCTCATGTGGCTGACTGCAGTCCAAGTCCTGGACCTGGCAGCTTGTTTTCTCACTCTTTTTTTTCTCTCTCTGGTGAACATATGTGCCCTGTAGCAAACTTAATAATGATACATAAAACTAAATAATTCTTAAAAAAATAAAAAAACAAAAGTAGTTCCTCAGGACCAGCTCTGTAGCCTTGTGGTAAAAGAAGCTTGGATCCCACAAGGCTGACCGCAGTTTGAATCTCAGCCTTGGTGGTTTGGAGGACACACTGGGTGGGTGCACATGCATGGCCAAAATCCTGACAGGATGGAGAAATGGAGAAGGGATTCCGATGTGACCACACCCCATTGAGGTGCTGTCTCCCTCCCTCTGCCTCATCTCTCCTTGGTGAGCACACATGTTCTCTCTCAATTAAAAAAAAAAAAAATTAAGATTTTTAAAAAGTATTTCTCTAGAGGGTCAGCAGGTAGCATGGTGGTAAAGGCTCTAGATCCTAAAAGGCATGCTACATGGTTCACGTCTCATATCCGGTGACTTGAAAAACATACTGGGTGCGTGTGTGTGTGTGTGTGTGTGCCCAAAATCCTGAAGGGACACTGGAGAAGGGATTTCAGCATGGCCATACTCCCTAAAGGTTGATTTTTCACTTTTCTTTTCTCTCCCTGGCAAGCACATGCTATATTTCCCTAAAGAACGAGACTTCTTTTTTATTTTTTAAAGAACAGTCCTTTTTTATAATTATTTATTTAATTTTATTTATTCACTCATTTATTTTAATTTGACCAGAGAGAGACACAGAGAAGGAACGAGAGAGAGGGAAAGTGAGAAAGGAAGCCACCAGGTCCAGGACTTGAACCGTGGTCAACCATGTGGGAGTGTCCAGCACCTTAACCACCACGCCACCTGCTGGTCCCCAGAACAAGACTTCTTAATGTTGGGCCTGCCATTTCAGGCAGATTATGGGAGATTTTGGGGCCTTCCTGGTTCTGGTCTTGAAGCCATGGCATTGGCTCCAGAGCCCTCAGAGAGGGAGAAGAGTTGTCTCAGGGATGAGCCTGAGGAAGAAGGACTCCAGTGCTGCCCCTGGGAGCAGGTTTGCTGAACACTGCCCAGCCCAGCCAGCCAGCCACCAGCGCTGCTTTTATCAGCTGTGCTCTGCACTGGGATAGCTTTTCATGTCAGTCAGGCATGGCAGGGTGGTGTGTTGAGAAGAGGACGTGTTCAACCCTTTTGTTTCCTTTGCCAGCCTGCCAAGATTGTTAAGCCTGGACCAAATTCTGTTTCTTTCTAACCTGCCCTGGACTCCTTGCCAGAAAGGCCTAGGGAGGGCTTCCTCTTGGCACCCTTTGCAGAAGTCACCAGGCCTGTTTTCCTGTAGTGCCCTGTTTTTAGACATTGTCCTTGTGAAGTAAAATGAGGGTTAGCGTTGGAGTGTGCTTGTTGCATGTCCAGGTGGACACTTCGTGTATATATCACATTAATCTTCAAGCCACTGCATGAAGGGGCTACCATTAATATTCCCACTATTCTGATCAGAAAACAGGCTCAGGGAGGGTAAAGTTCCTTGCCTTCTGTAAGTGGTAGAACCAGAAGCCTGGTCAGGACCAGATGATACCAGAGCCTGGCCTTGAACTAGCCTCTATGCCAGCATTGGTGAATCTTCAGACTGTAGGGTGCCAAGCCTGCCCTGAGCTAGGAGTTGAACTACAGAGAGCCTACCACGTGCGTGCATTGCTGACAGTTAAAGAGGCTGCCCTTGGGCCAGCCAGTGGTGTGGTGGTTAATGGGCTGGATTTCAGCTGGCCAACTTAGTGGTTCCAGTCTCAGATCCGGTGGTTTAAAAAACACTCTGGGGGGGCCAGTAGGTGGCATGATGGTTAGGGCACTGGACTCCACTTGGCTGACCATGGTGCAAGTCCTGGACCCTGTAGCTTGCTCTTTCACTTTCTTTGAGTTCCCTATCTGTCTCTCTGGTGAGCACATGTGCCCTGTAGCAAATTCAAAATAATAATAAAATAAACAATTATTAAAAAAAAACCCACTATGGGCAGGTTGGCATGGTAGTTGAGGTGCTGGATTCTCAGTGGATCACTGTGGGTCAAGTCCTGGACCTAGCGGCTTGCTTGCTTGCTTCCTCTCTCTTTTTTTTAGAGTGGTTTTTTCCCCCTATTGGGCTCATGCTCTTGTTGGAGAGAGACAGAGACAGGAAGGAAAGTGAGAAATCACCCCCCAGGGAGGATGGCCACAGTGCAGTCACTATTACTCCATCCTCCTTCCGGGATCTTGGGCATGTCCGCACATACACCAGACATGAGTTTCGAGTCCCTGGGCCCGGAATTCAAACCGTGCTCGGCCATGTCAGAGTCCAGCAACTTAACTACTATGTCATCTGCTGGTCCCTCTCTCTCTTATGAGTGCATGTGCCCTGAGCAAATTTAATAATAATAATGATAAATTAATAATTTAGGGACCACCACATGGCCAACCACGGTTCCAGTCCCAGGCCTGGCAGTTTGCTTTTTTGCTTTCCCTTTCTCTTTGTCTCTGGTCAAATTAAAAAACAGCAATAATAACAAGTGGAATTAAATAAATCTTTTAAAAAATAATTTAAAATAAAAAACAACCGTCTGAGCACATGTGTGTGTGTGTGCCCAAAATCCCCAAAGGAGAAATGGAGAAGGGATTGTTGAGTTAACATCCCCACATAAGGGCTTCTCACTTGCCCTTTCTCTCCATCTCTCTCTAGGAAGCACATTTGCCCTCTACCAAACTTAAAAAGAGAGGTTGCCCTCTTAAAAAGAGAGGCTGCTGAGTTTAGCTCCAGGTCAGTCCCCTGTGTGTTGCTAGGATATTGAGATATCAGAAATTTGAGAATTGATCAAGAAAAGCCAGCCTGACTCATGCTCCTACATAAGGGCCGCGTTGCTGACTTAGAATAGTATGTAGGCTTTAGCGGGTCACCGGCTCACCAAGACACATTCCCAGAAGTGTAGGGGCAGAATGCAGCGGGCTTGCTGCAAGCTGGTTTTATGAGGATCAGGTGCTCTGAGGGCAAACCCCTCCCCCCCCAATAGGTCTGTGGCCCATCCCTCAGACACCATTACCATCCTATCTCTTGAGCATCTGAGCTGTTTGGTCCCACCCTACGATGAGAATGGGGCAGAGCGATGTGTCTTTAAGTGGCCCAGATACCGGTAGCCAAGGGAGCCAGCAGAATTCCTGTCCCCAGGGGTGACTGAGCCCACAGCTGATTTTAGGCTTGTCCTGCAGCGCCCCCTCCTGGAGGAAGGCAGCAGCATCTCCTAGGACATGTTGGCAAAATCTCCCAATTCTTCCCCCGTCAAAGTAGTTTCTCCAGTTGCAGTTAGCACGTTCCCTCTGATGCAGCAACCTGAAGAAAAGAACTTACAAGAGGAAGGATGCACGGGGGGTTAAAAGGTGAAGGGATGAGAAGATCTCCAAAACAGCCTGCCACTGTCCTCTCTGCCATCTCTTTGCAGAGACCCTTGGGGCTGGAAGCAGCAGGCATCCAGTGCTTGGCCTCAGGACTGAGGCACCACCCCCTGCCTACCAGGAAGAAGACACCAGTGGATGACCCTGTCACCAGGGTCCCCTCTGTGGGAAAGGTCTGGTCCAGCTGTGGTCTGGCAGTGAGTGGAATGCATTCCAAAGCTGACACTCTTGGGCCAAACAAATGAACCCTGTCGCCTCAGATGAAGTGGGGTCCTCTCAAGATAAGACCACATGCAGGCTTCTTTCCTGGGAGCCCAAGCACCTGCTTCCTGAGACCTGACAGATGGCTCTTTTCTCTGCGCCAAGTTCCTCTTCCACACATCCCTCTCCTTCCCTTCCACTAGCCTGTCCAACTGTCTGGTTTATCTAAGGAGCCTTTAAAGAAGCGGCCCCACCCCACATCTGACTCAACTCAGGAATCTGGGATTTGTTACGTTCTAGGGACCAGCTGAGCTTCAAATACTACGCTGGCGAGTCCTCCACGCTTTCCCCAGCCTCTCTCCCAATTCACATACCATATTTGGGAATCAGAAAGTCTTAGAAAATGACAGACGTTTATTTTCAGCAATCCCAGGTTCCCAAGTCAGGGCAGCGACAGAAACGCCCCCCTCCACTAACGGCCTGGGCCCGTGGGCTGTTGTTCTGGCTCAGCCTTGGGAAGAGAGGAACCAAAGTGGGGCGGGACAGTCACTTGTACTGAGGAGACAGCGGGGGTACGAGTGGAGCCGTGCAGACACTCAGCATCTTGTCGATGTCCACCTGGGTTGACTTGTCCACTTCGGCCTTGAGGTGGTCGCTCACCCCCAAGTTGAGCAACCCCCCAGGCTCTTCTCCAACTGCCTCTCCCAGGGGAAGTAGAGCGTGGGTGTGAGGCACTGAGGTGTTAGGGCAGGGCAAAGTGAGGCCAGAGCCCAGCTCACCTGGCACAGGCAGCATGGCCCGCAGTTGCTCCACACCTGCCTGCTCAGGAACCAGGGCCAGCTCTGACTCAGGCTCCACCTTGGCCTCGGCCTCTCTCTCCCCCTCCCCTGCCTGGTTCAGCTCAGGGTTGCAGTAATTGATGTACTGGTACAGGGGTCGCAGGCGCTGGGCCTTTCCTGCAAGGACCCAGGGAAGGGTAGAGGGTGGAACACCTGGCTATACCTGGGTCAGGTCCAGTAGGCAGGGTAGGAGGGAAGGCCCAGAGGCTGCTACTCACGCTCCAACCCCAAGGTCTCTGAGGGCGAAGACACTGTGCTGGCCACAGCTGGGAGCATGGACACCCCCAGGCTCTTGCGTTTCTTAGCTTTTTTGTGCTGTTTGGCAGATGGGGTGTGCTCATTCTGGCTACCCTCTGGCTCCTCCTTCTGCAGCAGCAGCCCCAATGGCAACTCAGCTTCAGTCCTAGGAAGGGCATGGCAGCTAGACCCAGGGAGTCTTGGGGATCAGAGCCAGGGCCGAGAGGCCTGAGAACAAGACTGCAGCACCTAGATCCCATGCCCTGAGTCTGGGAAGTAGCCATGACTGCCCACCACCCCGTGGCTAAAGATCTGTCCCTTTCCTGATCAGTGAGGCCCCAGGTCCAACAGGGGCACAGAGCCCACATGAGCTCAGTCCATTTCTCTTGGTGCTCCCTATTCTGGGGCTCTTGAGAGAGAGAAGGTGTGGTGAGTGATGACAGTGGCAGGGCCAAGAATCCACCTGCAGGAGTGCGCAATTTAGGACCCCACCTTCCAGCCCTGCAGCTCATTCCCTCTGAAAGCCCCCTCACTTGACTGGTTTCCTCTTCAGACAGTGACCAGGCCTCACAACGGAGGCCACTGGCCTGAAGCCTCTCTCTTCTAGTGCTTCCATCTCTGGGTTGAGTTGCTCCTGGAGCTCTGGCTCTGAGGCCAGTCCTGTTGGACATTTGTCTTCACCTTGGGTTTGGCAGGCTTCATGGGCTAGCACCAGACACTGGTCCCTCATTGTCAGACACTAGAGCGACACATAGGTTAATGGTCGCCACGGCCACGCAAAGGATAAGGACCAGTCATTAAAGGACATTAGACCCTATACCCCTCACAGCCTGCAGAGCCTGGTCTGGCTGTTACAGGCTTGGGTCGCTCAGAGTTCGGTGCCCAGAGCGCCCCGGCCAAGTGTTTGAAGGGTAGACAGCCCAATGGTCACCTCAGAGCTCTGAGTACGGTCGTCCAGCACCTCTGGGAGATCTGCTGGCCCCATGGCCAACCCCTCTCGGACCCCTAGCCGTCTCTCGGGCCCTGCTGAAGCCACGGCTGCGCGAGGTCAGCGTACCCTCGACGGTTACCTGGAGAATGGTGGGAGGGGCTGGAATGGCTCTGACCCAAAAGACTGGAGCGCGCCCCGCCCACCTCAGCTGGAACTACAAGCCCCAGAAGGCTTTGCACCAGGGTCATTGACCCCTGGCCTGAAGGAAGGAAGCCACCGTTCCTTAGCAACAGCAACTCCTGTGGCGTCGGAGCCGCGGGCGGCAAAATCGCTGGAGTGAGCCCCTGCGTGTGTGTTGGCGGGAAGGGGCCGTGAAGCCCACTCGGCAGTGCCCCATTCCCAGGGGAGGGCGGATTGGGAGAGGCCCGGGAATGGGGCACTGCCGAGGTCAGGGTCGAGGGAGGAGGCGCGGTGGGGCAAGGGCTCGGGGCGGGAGGTGCCAGCCCGGTAGACGTCGGTGCACCGTTGCAGGGTGACGACGACGGCATGTGCGAAGGTCCGTCGCGCATTTCGGGACCCATCCCCCCAGACCCTACCCTCTGCCCTGACTACTACCGGCGACCGGCCTCGGGTGAGTTGGGGGTGCTGCTCGTGGCGAGACCCTGGAGCCAGGCCCCGCTTTACCGCTGAGTCCCGCACTCTGCGTGCCCCCCCTCCCCCCCGTCTCAGCCCAAGGACGCCTGGAGGGAAACGCGCTGAGACTGGGCCTGCTGACCTCGGACGGGGACCTGGACGCCACCCCTCCCCGCGGCCCGCGCATTGGTCAGGGAGGCCGACAGATCCTGGAGCGTGGCCAGCGCGGCGTAGGGGCTGTGTTGCTGCAACTCGAGGGCATCTCCCTAGGCCCAGGGACCTCCTCTAAGAGTAAGTCTGGGGAAGAAGGGACAGTGAGGGAGTCGGTTGTAGAAAACTGAGACCAGCAACGGCTGCTCCTCTTTTTTTTTTTCTCTGAATCTCAGCTATGAAAGGGAGGAAGTGCACTATCTTCGCAGGTGGGAATTGAATGAGGTAGTTCCCAGGAAGCCCTAGCTCACCTTCATGCGTTAGTGAAACATTATTTATTATTTATTGAGTGCCTACTGTGTGCCAGGCCCTATAGAGGCTAGGAAAGCAGGGGTATGGGCTGTCGTTGAGTAAAGATGGGAGACAAGTGAAGAAATCAGTATATTAATACAAGACGATTAGTGATATATGTCACTATAAAAATGGAGAAAATAATCAGGAGATATTTACTATGTGAGGACAGGAACACGGTGATAAGTTAAGAGTATGTGCATGGTGCCTACTTAGATGGACAGGACAGGTCAGGAGCTCTTTCTGTAGGGGTCAGGGTGTGGACCCGTGTGTGAACTAGTATAAGTCAGATGGCATGTGCAGAGCCTGGCAGCGTTTTGTGTCCCTCCCTGTCTCCCAGGGAAGGATCCTAAAGACCATGAAAAGGAGAACCTGAGGCGGATCAGGGAGATCCAGCGGCGTTTCCGAGAGCAGGAGCACAGCCGGGAGCAGGGCCAGCCCAAGCCCCTGAAGGCTCTGTGGCGCTCACCCAAGTATGACAAGGTGGAGTCCCGGGTCAAGGCCCAGCTGCAGGTACCTGCCTCATGGAGCCAGAAGGGAGGAGAGTGACTGGGGCCTAAGGAAACAGAGGGCCAAGAGACACCTGGCTCTGCTATAGGGTGGGACTAAGGCCTTTCTCAGAAGTGCTGACAGTTGGGCGGATGCTAAGGGGCAAGTAGGAATTAGACAGGGAAAGGGGTAGACATGCACATTCCATAGAGATGGACCCTCACAGGTAGAAGTCCTGAGCCCAGACGAAGCATGGGCAATGAGGATGCTAGGTACGATTCGCCGTGAGGGGACAGACACAAAGTCAGACTGAGAAGTCGGCCAGTCCTGCATCATAAAAAGCTGCCTAAGCCACCTTTCAACCTGTGTTTCTGAGGACAGTGGGAAGGGCAGGCGCAGGGCTATGCCTGTGTAGGGTGGGCACCATTGCTCTATCCAAAGATTCAGAAAGAGGAAGAGGATTGAGAGAGAAGACAAGGTCATGTGTGGGTGGATTTATTCAGGCTGAAGCATTTGTGAGACGCCAGGGAGTGGGAGTGTGTCCAGGAAGCAGATGGCTCGTGCCCTCACCCAGGCGTGGCCACTCTGAATCTCAGCTATGAAAGGGAGGAAGTGCACTATCTTCGCAGGTGGGAATTGAATGAGGTAGTTCCCAGGAAGCCCTAGCTCACCTTCATGCGTTAGTGAAACATTATTTATTATTTATTGAGTGCCTACTGTGTGCCAGGCCCTATAGAGGCTAGGAAAGCAGGGGTATGGGCTGTCGTTGAGTAAAGATGGGAGACAAGTGAAGAAATCAGTATATTAATACAAGACGATTAGTGATATATGTCACTATAAAAATGGAGAAAATAATCAGGAGATATTTACTATGTGAGGACAGGAACACGGTGATAAGTTAAGAGTATGTGCATGGTGCCTACTTAGATGGACAGGACAGGTCAGGAGCTCTTTCTGTAGGGGTCAGGGTGTGGACCCGTGTGTGAACTAGTATAAGTCAGATGGCATGTGCAGAGCCTGGCAGCGTTTTGTGTCCCTCCCTGTCTCCCAGGGAAGGATCCTAAAGACCATGAAAAGGAGAACCTGAGGCGGATCAGGGAGATCCAGCGGCGTTTCCGAGAGCAGGAGCACAGCCGGGAGCAGGGCCAGCCCAAGCCCCTGAAGGCTCTGTGGCGCTCACCCAAGTATGACAAGGTGGAGTCCCGGGTCAAGGCCCAGCTGCAGGTACCTGCCTCATGGAGCCAGAAGGGAGGAGAGTGACTGGGGCCTAAGGAAACAGAGGGCCAAGAGACACCTGGCTCTGCTATAGGGTGGGACTAAGGCCTTTCTCAGAAGTGCTGACAGTTGGGCGGATGCTAAGGGGCAAGTAGGAATTAGACAGGGAAAGGGGTAGACATGCACATTCCATAGAGATGGACCCTCACAGGTAGAAGTCCTGAGCCCAGACGAAGCATGGGCAATGAGGATGCTAGGTACGATTCGCCGTGAGGGGACAGACACAAAGTCAGACTGAGAAGTCGGCCAGTCCTGCATCATAAAAAGCTGCCTAAGCCACCTTTCAACCTGTGTTTCTGAGGACAGTGGGAAGGGCAGGCGCAGGGCTATGCCTGTGTAGGGTGGGCACCATTGCTCTATCCAAAGATTCAGAAAGAGGAAGAGGATTGAGAGAGAAGACAAGGTCATGTGTGGGTGGATTTATTCAGGCTGAAGCATTTGTGAGACGCCAGGGAGTGGGAGTGTGTCCAGGAAGCAGATGGCTATTCAGGTCTGGTTCTCAGGAGGGAGACCCAGGAGTTACTGACAATCAGCTTGAGGCCAATAAGACCAAGGAAGTGACTCCTGGACTTGAGGATATGGAGGCCAGCTGCCCTTGCCCACTCACCTTGGTGGGGGCTGGGGAGGAGTGTAGGTAGAGCCAGGAAGATTGGCTAAGAAGGAGAAAAGAGAATGGTAGCTGGACTAGTACCGAGATGGAAGGAGCAGTATTATTAGTTCGTTGTTTTTTTTAAAGATATGAAACACATGTTTAACTGCTGATGGAGAACTGGTCGTTCAAGGATAGAAACAGGAAGTCCCCGAGGGGCAGGAGCACAGAGGCACAGTCTTGGGCTTGAGACTCTGACCTCAGCTGACTGATCACTCTGCTATGCCCTGCCCTCCAGGAGCCTGGCCTCGCCTCTGGGACAGAGCCTGCCCACTTCCTGCGGGCACATTCCCGCTGTGGCCCTGGGCTCCCCCTGCCTCGGGTCCCTAGTCCCCAGCTAACCTCACCAAGTCCCAAGCCTAAGGTAAGAGGAAGTAAAGGGGCTAGGAGGTGGCTGGAAGGGATTCGGGGTGGGAGGGTGCAGGGGCCCACCACAGTGCTGTCTGTCCCATCATGCTTGCTGTGTCTTGCAGGGGCCAGGCCTAGGCGTGGACTTCATTAGTCACAATGTCCGAGCTGCCAAGAGAGCCCCCCGGCGGCATTCCCGCTCATTGCAGGTGCTGGCACAAGTGCTGGAGCAGCAACGGCAAGCCCAAGAGCGCTACAACGCCACACAGAAGGGCCATGTACCCCATTAGTAGGTCCCGCTGCTGATACCCAGGGTGAGGTGTGCCTGTGGAGGGCAAGAGTCAACCTCTGCCTTGGGGTCAACTCTGAGCCTGTGCATCCATAGCTTATTGGAGCGGCAAGACCTGTGGCGGCGGGAGGCTGAGGCCCGCCAGCATAGCCAGCCAGACCCTGCCATGCCCCCTGGCCACACACTCATGCCTGAGAACCAGCGGCTGGAAACACTGAGCAGTTTGCTCCAAAGTGAGTACCTGGGGAAGGGAGACTGGATGGGGAGCTCATGGGGACCATGCACCCCTCCCCAGCACTCACGGTTCCTGGATCCCCTGTAGGCCAGAGCCAGCTGCTGCGTGAGCTAATATTGCTGCCTGCCGGGGCAGACTCACTAAGAGCCCAAGGCCACCGTGCTGAGCTGGACAGGAAGTTGGTGCAGGTAGAAGAGGCCATCAAGATTTTTTCCCGACCCAAAGTCTTTGTAAAGATGGATGCCTAAGCCCCTTTGTGGGAGTGGTGGCAGAGAGAGCCACAGAAAGATTGCCACATGGCTGCAAAGGACAGGGTTGTGCCCTATCACAGAATGGCAGTCTGAAGACAGGAGCCATGGGGTGCAGACCACAGAAGGGCAGTCTGAAGACGGGAGCCATGGGGTGGGCAGTGTCCCAAAAGCATTTGTCCCAGCCACCAATGGCTGTGGAAGAGCCATTCCAGCCTTTAAGCCCTTGATCAAAATTAAAACTTTTGTATACAGTACGAGTTGTTTCCATAAGAACTCTTCTTATCCTAGAGGTGCCAAGCCTAGTGGCACTCCCACTACTGGACTTCAGGCAGGTCTCCCT